ATATAATAAATATACTATAAAAATTTTAACTAATTTTATTATGTACAATTTTTTTTAAAAAAATTTTTTTAAGTGTCCGCAATAATATGTCCACCCTCTGTATATGTAATGGAATTGAATTTAACTGTTTTTCAAAAATTATATTATAGTAGAATTACCAAATAATATATAATAAATAATTGGAATTTATATTTAATTTAGAATCATATTGTCAATTAAATTTTCTTTTATAGTAATATAAATATATATAATTCAAATATATAATTCAATAAAAATCATGATATTAATTGCTTATTTATTTTTTTAAAAAAAAAAGTTTTAATAATATTTTTTAAGTTTTTTAGACTAGTGATATACAGTATATAAAAAATATTATTTTATTTTTTAAATCTCTGATAAAAAGATAAACAATATATAACTTTGAAGAAATATATTATTAAATTTGCTTTTCTTAATAATTTTTAAAATTTTATATAATTGCTACTTTGGTTTTTCCATAATAAATATATTATAAAATAAGAAAATAAAACTTTAATTTCAATTAATTTAATATTTTAATTTTTAATTTATTTCTTATAATTATAAAATTAATTTGTAAACTTATTTTAAAATATTTTATAACTCTTTTATACCATTTAATTATTTGTATTAATAGTATTTTTGTACTTTTCAAATTATTTAAATAGATTTTTTTTTTTTTTTTTATAAATTTCAATACATTTATTAAGTTTTTTTTACTTATTTATCTTTATTCATTATTTTAAATATCTATATAACTTCTTTTCAAAATTCAGATTTACAGTAAATATATTTTTTCTAAAAAACTTTTTTCAAACTATTAATTTATTGAATTTTATAAAACTTATTGGATTCAGTTTTTATATTCTTCTTTTTTTTATTACTATTATTTTTTTTATTATATTTATTTATTTTTTTGTTTTCTTTTACAAAAAACAATAAAATAACAAAAACAATAACAATAATAATTTTTATTTAATTAATTATATATTTTTATTTTATATTTTTTTTATTTATATTCTCTTATGATTTGAAAGAGAAATTAATCATAAAAAACTAATATTTATTTTGGTTAAAAGTCTTAGAGCATAATTTTTAAGAAATAATTTATTTTATATAAAATTAATCTAATTATTAGGCTATTATATTCTATATCCTAAATCTTTAGATTATAGCCCTTTGAAATAGTTTATAAATTTTTTTTTTTCACAAATACCTCCCAATAAAATTCTGTAAAATCTGAACTAACCTATATAAATTGAAAAATCGAATTAGTCTAATGAATCTAACTAGAATTTAAGATAGAACAAAAGGTGATAACAAATTGTTTAGGTATTTAAATTTTAAACAAATTAATTATTATTTTTAATCATAATTTGTAAAATGAAATTTGTTTTATTAATAACAACTTTGCAAATTATTTTTAATTATCAGTCATCTAATATTATTGGAATAAATATTATTTAATAGCAATAGAAATTTATTTATTATTTGTATTAAATTTCGCGTTATGTTACTTGCTGTATATTTATGAGCAAAGAAAACGCCAATAATCAATAATTTATTATTTAACATACAAGTTTAGATATTGCAAAGTTTTTGTTAGTATATATGTATTTATATAATAACTCGATCAAAACCTTTCTTTTTTTCCCAATTTTGGCTTCCGTCCTTTTTTTTTTTTTTCGCAATCATGACTTTTAGAAGCAACGGATTTCCAAATATCAAACAAAATAGTGTGTATAATACAAAGAGGTGAATATTATTGTAGTAAGGAATAAAATGTAAATATATAATATAATCGGATATGCAAAACTTATTCTAGGTATGGGATTTAATTGATAAAAAAAATTGCAAAGTCGAACATCGGAACTTGATGAATGAATCAATAGAACAAGCGTTATGGATTTGGATGTGATTGTCTTCAACGACATAAAATTTTGCACGTGTAACAAAATTAGTCTAACGAAATTTCTAGGTCTGGTTCATATTAATAAAAGAGAATCTGGCCTAACGAATATCCCATGGTTATTGGAAGCCGTGAAGTACTTGATGTTAGCCACTACACCATTGTTCTTACCGACTATGAAAGAGAAATACAGTGTCAATTAAGTTCAAAAATGATAATTTAACTCTAGAAATAAATATTTTAATTACCTGGATTATCAAGCTCTATTCCCACCCAGTTCCCTTTTGCGAATTCTGTTTCACCCAAGAATTTTATAGTTCCAGGAGCATTATTCTTTGTTGGAAGGATAACACGCCTACCTACAGAAATGTCCGGATTAGGGACCGTGGCAAGTTTTACTTGATGTGGTTCAGGCGACAATCGAGTAATAGCACCGCTTGAGCCGGACGTAATCGTGGTTGAAGTTGAATTTATTGAAGGAGACCGCTTTCGTCTGTGATGAGATGATGTGGTCGTGTGGCTATTGTTGGATGAAGCCGATGCGATGGAACTAGCTCGTGATGATTTTGGTGAAATATCACGATCACGATCACGGCCACGCCTTTGTTGTGCCTCGTCATATCTGAGTTGCCGTAGCATACTGGCGCGAGTTTGTTTTACACCATTAAAGCGTGATGGAGATACAGATGGCGAAGTCCCAGATTTGGTCGAAGAAATTGAACTTGGACGAGAAGAGGTAGGAGTCTGCTTATTGGATGAGCGACCTCTTGGCGAGTCCGCACCATTCGCAGGAACTCGAAGACTCGTATTGGATGGTGATGATCGTACCGTCTTTGTAGTTTTATTGTTAGTGGTTGTCTTTGGGGCTTTCGGTGTCGATAGACTAGATGAAGATCCAGAAGAAGACTTTGATGTAGAAGCTGTCTTCGTACGTGCTTTCACCGGGTTTTTTGCCGAAGATTCGGCCAATGCTTTTTGACGTAAAACGCTGGCACGAGTCGGGCGATCCCACACCGGAGCAGTGGTAGCTCCACCGATACGTACGCTTTTGCCTTTCTTTGCAGTAGTCCGAGCAGTTTTTGACGATGATCCGGCTGGAGTTGATTGTGAAGATGAAGATGAAGATGAAGATGCCAAAGATGATGGCGTCACGGTCGACACAGTTCCCGCAGCTCCATTCGAGTTCGCCGTTTCTTCCGTAGAAGAGGTAGCCGATCCTGATGTTGATTGTGGCGGTGTTGTTACAATCACAGGAGTCGCTGGAACTGTGGGCGCACTTTTAACTATAGGTGGCACCACTCCTTTCTTCGAAAGTCCGTTTGTTGAACTTGGCGTTTTTACTTTTTTCTGATTTTGATATTGACCACAAGGTTCTTGTAGTTCATTACGATCAATCCCCAATTCTTGAAATGCAAGATAAGGTTAAGCGAATATAATTAAGATTCGAAAATCTAATAAAAAACACATACCTTTTTCGAATTCATCCAAAAGCATAGGACTTAATAGTCTAAATCCACCAGACTCTTTTACACCCATCCAACGCTTTTTTATATAGTCGAAAATACTTTGTTTTGCTTGTAGCAACACTCTTTTTGTCTCGATGAACTCCGCATCCATAATTGCCGGTCTCGTTAACAACTTCCCAGTGATAGATTTGAGAACACGAGCAGAATTTTGTTCAGTCAAACCCTCATCCACCACTATAGTCATAATGTCCTCTAAAATATCTGAACTGAAACCTACACCATCCACACATTCCAGAAATTCCTGATCCTCGCAAAGTTGTTCGAAATTATCGACCAGAATTTGAGCAGCATATGAGCGTACTTGATTAGTCATGTAACGAACATTTTCTATCCAAGGCAGGCCTATTCCCTTGATATCAATTTCCGAATAAATTTTTCGACAACCTTTGAAAATGGAAACGATATTGGAACATTGAATGGTGGAAAGTAAGGTCATAAG